CAGCAGATCCCGAACACCACCACCAGCATGACTGTGGGGAGCCGAGAAGCCGGTGTTACTGGGTGTACAGGGCTCACCCCTCCGGGGACCTCCAGTCCCTGGCCAAGCACTGCCCTGTTTCAGCTTCGGCCATAGCAAAGAACACCCAAAAAACCACATGAGAGAGGAAGGGGGAGGGGGGAAGGGCCCCCCAATGCCTTGTTGACCTGGCATGGAGGGGCTGGACATCTGGGCAGGTTCTCCCTCCCTCCATCTCCTGCCAGGGCTGCTCCAGATGGTGCTGTGCCATGCCTCTCTGCTCCCCACCGGCAGTCAGCTGGCCCCACCACAGCCCCACAGCATGGCTGGGGGGTGCGTCTGTGGGCATCCAGCCTCCAGGCACCCCTCCACCTCTGCAAGCAAAGCAAAAGTGCTCCCCGCTAACTGGGTAACCCGTGGGGCACAACCAAGTCCAAGGCGTGAGAGCTATTTGCGCCCTCTCCTTGTGCTCTGTTGATTTTTTTTTTATAACCCAACTCTGCTGATGCATACCCACACGATGCCATACCTGTGCCACGCTGCATCTCCATGGCATGCGGAGACAAGTCCCCCTTTTTCCCCCTCCCAGCCCTGGTGCTGGGGGAAACTGGAGAGCAGTTACCATTTGTCTGGGACATGGCAGAGAAGCAGCCCTGGCCCCGCTGATGGACTGGGCTGGGCAACCCGCCATCGCTGTGCCGTCACGGGGCTGGGAGCACACAGAGGTCAGCGTGCCGGGGACAGACAGCAACCCAAGGGCAGCCAGCTCCTGCTGCTGGGAAGGGGGTCAGAGGCTGTGGGGCTGGGGCTGGGGAGGGGAGCAATGGCACAGAGCAGTGGGACAGAGGGATGCTCCACTCCAGCCTTGGGTCAGTGCATCATTGCCCCAGGTCGGTCGCAGAGGCTGCAGGGCTGGCTAGGAACTGGTCCCTCTCTGGGAAAACCCACCACCACCACCAGCACACAAGGTCTGGGCTAGGGGACCGGGGGCAGGTTCCCCTATCCCATCCCATCCCATCCCATCCCATCCCATCCCATCCCATCCCAGCTCCTTTCCCTTTCTCACCCAGCACGTTCCTGGAGGAGAGGAGGTCTTGTGGCTGGGGGGGGGGCGGGACACGACAA